CACCACTCATCATACACCACTCATCCAACCACCACTCATCATACACCACTCATCATACACCACTCATCAAACCACCACTCATCACCACTCATCATACACCACTCATCAAACCACCACTCATCATACACCACTCATCAAACCACCACTCATCAAACCACCACTCATCAAACCACCACTCATCATACACCACTCATCAAACCACCACTCATCAGATTTCGTGGCAGGTGCAGCAATTTGTGAACCTCCATGTGCAGATTTCGTGGCAGGTGCAATACAAAATGCGTTTTCGAGAGATAGCGGACGCGCGAAATGCCGTATTTTTCAATAGAACCGGTGGCTTCGAACCTGGCAAGTCTAGCTCTGCGGAACGACGGTTGCGAGACGGTCTCGGGTCATGGGTCGTCCGTCCATTGTGGTTAGGTTTTCACTTGTCTCTTGAAGTGCAGATTTCGTGGCAGGCGCAGCACTTTGTGAACCTCCATGTGCAGATTTCGTGGCAAGCACAGCACTTTGTGAACCTCCATGTGCAGATGTCGTGGCAGGTGCAGCACTTTGTGACCCTCCAGGCGCAGATTTCGTGGCAGGCACAGCACTTTGTGAACCTCCAGGTGCAGATTTCATGTCAGGCACAGCACTTTGTGAACCTCCATGTGCAGATTTCGTGGCAGGCACAGCACTTTGTGAACCTCCATGTATAGAGTTCGTGGCAGGCACAGCACTTTGTGAACATCAATGTGGAGATTTCGTGGCAGGCACAGCACTTTGTGAACCTCCATGTGCAGATTTCGTGGCAGGTGCAGCACTTTGTGAACCTCCAGGTGCAGATTTCGTGGCCGGCGCAATACAAAATGCGTTTTCGAGAGATAGCGGACGCACGAAATGCTGTATTTTTCAATAGAACCGGTGGCTTCGAACCTGGCAAGTCTAGCTCTGCGGAACGACGGTTGCGAGACGGTCTCGGGTCATGGGTCGTCCGTCCATTGTGGTTAGGTTTTCACTTGTCTCTTGAAGTGCAGATTTCGTGGCAGGCGCAGCACTTTGTGAACCTCCATGTGCAGAT